CCTCCGCTTTAACGCCCGCATAAATATTAAACGTGAAATAAAATAAAATATTACTTATGGCATCAATCGTTTTTTCGTCGTTTAAAATGTCTATGCCTCCTGACGTCGTCACGTAGATTGTACACCGGTACGTCGAGCTGTCGTTACATTCGGTGTTAGTAAGGTTGAGTTCAAGGTTAGCGGACATGACGGTATCCAGATAGCCGGAAGCTGAGCCACGTAATTCCAGCTGATGATCCTGCCACTGGACTACACTGCCACTGATTGTACGGTTGTAGTCTACGGACACTATTTTAGACTCCTCTGAACCCATGGAGGCGCTGGCGTCCCTGTAAAACTGCACAAATCAAAAGAGTAAGGAACTATATTCAAAATAAGTATGTAAGCTGCAATGAATCAGTGGCGGACCCAGGGGTGTTGCCCTAGTTGCCCGGGCAACACTCTTTTTTCTGTGTCCAAAAATAATCTGGACTTATGTTTTTGAAGATTTTCCTCTTTTTCATATCTATTCAATAGGGAATTAATCCTCTTTTGTTTATCTAATGTCACAGTGTGGTGATCACCCTGTCCGTTGAGAGAGGATAAAACCATCTGTTGGAATTAGGGATATATATGTTAATTGTTATTTCAAAGGTAGAGTCCTTTTCATGATAGATAAACCTGTACTTTCACCTGTGGTTTCATGTACACATCATCACCAGGAGCGATTTATTATACCTGTTAAAAAATCTAAATTTCAAAAATTTCAAAGACGTCCACCTTAGCATCACGTTATCAGGTGAATAATAACCAATGTTAGCATAAAAGCCTGGCATGTATGTTTATCTCCTTTTTAACAGGTGTTGCCCTTGTACATATGGATGCATACAAATTCACAATAAAATACAAACAGTCAAATCATAATTCATATTTATGACAAAATAAATCAATATTTAATTGCCAAAATGCTCGCCTAAACTACATGCACATGAAAAGCATGACACAAACATCAACATTTTAACCAAAAACCTACATTTTTAACGTTGTTTCAGAGAATTTGTTAACACTCGCTCCGCTCGGCCATCATAAAATATAAATACTCTGTGTTATAAAATATAACCTGGAATAATACTGCAAACTCAGAAAACTATTCTATGCCTTAATGTCCGATAAATTCTAGCTTTCTACGCTTGGCAGTGCTTGAACAAGTTTAGTATTCCATCTTTCCCCGGAACAAATTTATCGCATGGATAAATACAGTGAACACCGTAAATCCGACCTTGCCCTCCACGAGGGAGTTATTTTTGGAAGTTAATTCGAACTTTTCTCATTGCTCGTTTTGTGAAGAATCCAGACGTAAATTTATTTGTTGATTGTATGAGAATCTGACTACAGTCTGTAGATTCTTTAACAGCCTCGTTATTTGACATGTCGTCAGAAACTGAGGAAACAGTGGCTGCGAGACGCGTTAATCTGGTAACGTTTGAAGTGAGTGCGCATGCGGCAAGAGCACAGGGGTTCATTACAAATGTCTGAAATGTTTATGTGTGCTGTGACTCATATCAGTAGGTCTGTAACATATGCGTCAGTAGGTCGATAAAATATGTGTATTTCAGACATTTGTAACGAACCCCTGTTGATCAGTGCAGTGTAACAGACGATATTTTTGATAAATTGCATGAGCGTTAAAAATGTTTCCATTGCCGGCAGTGGTGATTTAAACCGTTGTGCATTTTGTACGATATTGCAGACCTTGGTCTTGTTTTTGTTGCAATAAAAGTATTTTTTATTTTATTTTTTATTTTGCACATAAATTGATAATGACATTGCCAAATATCACCATGCCTAGCGACATTTCAGCAGCCGTCATGTTTATTTACATTGGATATTGTAGTTCCGGTCAGTGTTGTATAAATACGCTAAGAATTTTGTCTCGTGCTGCATGATAATTAAAGTACCATCAACGACACAGCTTTCAAAGAAGCTATATAGTGACAATGCCATGCAAATGTTAATATATATCCATAGTTGTTAAGGACGTTAAGACAAGGATTTGAATCCAGATGACTACTATGTCACTATCGCTCTATACGTAATGTTCTACACGGGTACCTAGCATATGTAACTATCGCTCTATACGTAATGTTCTACACGAGAACCTAGCATATGTCACTATCGCTCTGTGCGTAATGTTCTACACGGGTACCTCGCATATGTCACTATCGCTCTTTACGTAATGTTCTACACGAGTACCTAGCATATGTCCCTATCGCTCTGTGCGTACTGTTCTACACGGGCACCTCGCATATGTCACTATCGCTCTATACGTAATGTTCTACACGAGTACCTAGCATATGTCACTATCGCTCTGTGCGTACTGTTCTACACGGGTACCTCGCATATGTCACTATCGCTCTATACGTAATGTTCTACACGAGTACCTAGCATATGTCACTCTCGCTCTATACGTTATGTTCTACACGGGTACCTAGCATATGTCACTATTGCTCTATACGTAATGTTCTACACGAGTACCTAGCCTATGTCACTATCGCTCTATACGTAATGTTCTACACGCGTACCTAGCATATGTCACTATCGCTCTATACGTTATGTTCTACACGGGTACCTAGCATATGTCACTATTGCTCTATACGTAATGTTCTACACGAGTACCTAGGATATGTCACTATCGCTCTATACGTAATGTTCTACGCGGGTACCTAGCATATGTCACTATCGCTCTATACGTAATTTTCTACACGAGTACCTAGCATATGTCAGTATCGCTCTGTGCGTAATGTTCTACACGAGTACCTAGCATATGTCACTCTCGCTCTATACGTTATGTTCTACACGGGTACCTAGCATATGTCACTATTGCTCTATACGTAATGTTCTACACGGGTACCTAGAATATGTCACTATCGCTCTATACGTAATGTTCTACGCGGGTACCTAGCATATGTCACTATCGCTCTATACGTAATTTTCTACACGAGTACCTAGCATATGTCACTATCGCTCGATACGTAATGTTCTACACGAGTACCTAGGATATGTCACTATCGCTCTATACGTAATGTTCTACACGGGCACCTAGCATATGTCACTATCGCTCTATACGTAATGCTCTACACGGGTACCTAGCATATGTCACTATCGCGCTATACGTAATGTTCTACACGAGTACCTAGCATATGTCCCTATCGCTCTGTGCGTAATGTTCTACACGAGTACCTAGCATATGTCACTCTCGCTCTATACGTTATGTTCTACACGGGTACCTAGCATATGTCACTATCGCGCTATACGTAATGTTCTACACGAGTACCTAGCATATGTCCCTATCGCTCTGTGCGTAATGTTCTACACGAGTACCTAGCATATGTCACTCTCGCTCTATACGTTATGTTCTACACGGGTACCTAGCATATGTCACTATTGCTCTATACGTAATGTTCTACACGAGTACCTAGGATATGTCACTATCGCTCTATACGTAATGTTCTACACGAGTACCTAGCATATGTCACTATCGCTCAATAAGTAATGTTCTACACGAGTACCTAGCATATGTCACTATCGCTCTATACGTAATGTTCTACACGAGTACCTAGCATATGTCACTATCGCTCTATACGTAATGTTCTACACGAGTACCTAGGATATGTCACTATCGCTCTATACGTAATGTTCTACACGGGTACCTAGCATATCTGTTCGAATAAGAGGACTTGAGAAAGATTATTTCATCCAAAACGTCCCCTTTTACTTCAAACAAAGAAAATAGAACTTTTGTTATCATAGAGAGATGATGCCATTTTGGATGACCATAACTACATACTTGTATGAGGCTTACCGTTATGCGTATTAACCTTATCGACTGTAACGTAGTCTATCATTATAGGTATTGATAGACTTCCAGGAACCGAAACATGTGAAGTAGTATATGTGTTAAAGATGGGAAACTAACAACTATTACGACAATCTCAGAGGTTAAAACCGGGCCCGTATTCATGAAATCGTTCTCATATTCAAGCATGGATTTTGTACTCAAACTAACTTTCTTGTAACTCACTTAAATCATGTCAAATGATAAAAAGCCAAATGTAAACAAACAGTATTTGGGTTTAAGTCTCTTCAACATGTTCCAAACCATTGACAAAATAAGATTTTATTATTAATTTATAAACAAGAAGTTAGGCTCGAGCTCAACATCTAGGCTTGAATCTGAAAACGTTTTCATAAATACAGGCCCAGGTGTCCGGAACATAGATCAGGGATTTAATACGACATTACATACAGAAATTATACTATTCGTCTGGTCACGTGATACCTGAATACTGTTAACGTCCGATATTCCCGTCGTATCCGAAAACTCGCATCGAAGGGAAAGGTCAGCTTGTCCTATGTCCAGAGTGGCAGGTGCCGACAGCGACACCATCTGTCCGTACACTACAAACAAATGAACAGGAGTTCATGAATTAAATTTGATCTCAAACATGTCGTCATAGAGATGTCTCACTCTGTCCTGTACGGAGTAGCGATCAATGACGAACCCCTCAACTCAACGGTTTAGTCTAGAGATTCAGTCTGGATATTCTCACCATAGTAATATTAATTAAGTTTATATATTCTCACCATGGTTACGTTGATGTAGTATATATATTCTTACCATAGTTACATTGATTTAGTCTAGATATTCTCACCATGGTAACATTGATTTAGTCTATATATTCTCACCATAGTAACATTGATTTAGTCTAGATATTCTCACCATAGTAACATTGATTGAGTCTAGATATTCTCACCATAGTAACATTGATGTAGTCTAGATATTCTCACCATGGTAATATTGATGTAGTCTAGATATTCTCACCATGGTAATATTGATTTAGTCTATATATTGTCACCATGGTGACATTGATATAGTCTAGATATTCTCACCATGGTAATATTGATTTAGTCTAGATATTCTCACCATGGTAACACTGATGTAGTCTAGATATTCTCACCATAGTAATATTGATCTAGTCTAGATATTCTCAGCATGGTTACATTGATGTAGCCTAAATATTCTCACCATAGTAACACTGATGTAGTCTAGATATTCTCACCATGGTAACATTAATTTAGGCTAGATACTCTCACCATGGTAACATTGATTGAGTTTAGATATTCTCACCATAGTAACATTGATTTAGTCTAGATATTCTCAGCATGGTAACATTGATGTAGTCTATATATATTTACCATGGTAACATTGATTTAGTCTAGATATTCTCACCATAATAACATTGATTTAGTCTAGATTTTCTCACCATAGTAACATTGATTTAGTCTATATATTCTCACCATAGTAATATTGATTTAGTCTAGATATTCTCTCCAAAGTAACAGTGATTTAGTCTAGATATTATCACCATAGTAACATTGATTTAGTCTAGATATTCACACCATAATAACATTGATGTAGTCTAGATATTTTCACCATGGTAACATTGATTTAGTCAATATATATTTACCATGGTAACATTGATTTAGTCTAGATATTCTCACCATAGTAACATTGTTGTAGTATAGATATTCTCACCACGGTAACATTGACTTAGTCCATATATTCTCACCATAGTAATATTGATTTAGTCTAGATTTTCTCACCATAGTAACATTGATTCAGTCTAGATATTCTCACCATGGTAACATTGATTTAGTCTATATATTGTGACCATGGTAACATTGATTTAGTCTATATATTATCACCATAGTAATATTGATTTAGTCTAAATATTCTCACCATAGTAACATTGTTGTAGTATAGATATTCTCACCATGGTAACATTGATTTAGTCTATATATTCACCATGGTAACATTGATTTAGTCTAGATATTCTCACCATAGTAACATTGATTTAGTCTATATATTCTCACCATGGTAACATTGATTTAGTCTAGATATTCTCACCAAAGTAACATTGATTTGGTCTAGATATTCTCACCATAGTAAAATTGATTTAGTCTATATATTCTCACCATAGTAACATTGATTTAGTCTAGATATTCTCACCATGGTAACACTGATTTAGCCTATATATTCTCACCATAGTAACATTGATGTAGTCTAGATATTCTCACCATAATAACATTGATTTAGTCTATATATTCTCACAAAAGTAACATTGATTTAGTCTATATATTCTCACCTTGGTAATATTGATGTAGTATAGCTATTCTTACCATGGTAACATTGAATTAGTCGAGATATTCTCACCATAGTAACATTGATTTAGTCTATATATTCTCACCATGGTAACATTGATGTAGTCTAGATATGCTCACCATAGTAACATTGATGAAGCATAGCTTTTCTCACCATGGTAATATTGATTTAATCTATATATTCTTACCATGGTAACATTGATTTAGTCTTGATATTTGCACCATGGTAATATTGATTTAGTTTATATATTCTCACCATAGTAACATTGATTTAGTCTAGATATTATCACCATAGTAACATTGGTAGACGTTTAGTTATCCACTTCTGTGTAACACCCTGGACGTTACTTCTGTGTAACACCCTGGACGTTGCTTCTGTGTAACACCCTGGACGTTACTTCTGTGTAACACACTGGGCGTTACTTCTGTGTAACACCCTGGACGTAACTTCTGTGTAACACCCTGGACGTTACTTCTGTATAACATCCTGGACGTTACTTCTGTGTTACACCCTGGACGTTTCTTCTGTGTAACACCCTGGACGTTACTTCTGTGCTACACCCTGGACGTTACTTCTGTGTAACACACCGGGCGTTACTTCTGTGTAACACCCTGGACGTTACTTCTGTGCTACACCCTGGACGTTACTTCTGTGTAACACACCGGGCGTTACTTCTGTGTAACACCCTGGACGTTACTACTGTGTAACACACTGGACGTTACTTCTGTGTAACCCCCTGAACGTTACTTCTGTGTAACACACTGGACGTTACTTCTGTGTAACACCCTGGACGTTACTTCTGTGTAATACCCTGGACGTTACTACTGTGTAACACACTGGACGTTACTTCTGTGTAACACCCTGAACGTTACTTCTGTGTAACACACTGGACGTTACTTCTGTGTTACACCCTAGACGTTACTTCTGTGTAACACCCTGGACGTTACTTCTGCGTAACACCCTGGACGTTACTTCTGTGTAACACCCGGGACGTTACTTCTGTGTTACACCCTGGACGTTACTTCTGTCTAGTACCCTGGACGTTACTTCTGTGTAACACCCTGGACGGTACTTCTGTGTAACACCCTGGACGTTACTTCTGTGTTACCCCCTGGACGTTACTTCTGTGTAACACACTGGACGTTCCTTCTGTGTTACACCCTGGACGTTACTTCTGTGTAACACCCTGGGCGTTACTTCTGTGTAACACACTGGACGTTACTTCTGTGTAACACCCTGGACGTTACTTCTGTGTAACACCCTGGACGCTACTTCTGTGTAACACCCTGGACGTTACTTTTGTGTTACACACTGGACGTTACTTCTGTGTAACACCCTGGACGTTACTTCTGTGTAACAACCTGGACGTTACTTCTGTGTTACACCCTGGACGTTACTTCTGTGTTACACCCTGGACGTTACTTCTGTGTAACACACAGGACGTTATTTCATTGGTCAATCGTTTTGATTCATTGCACTCGTTTCCCCTATCAGAAACAGAAATGGTGTTATTTCCTAGGTTCTCTGGCTATGGTATAAGTTATAGGAGAAAAATGTCAACACACTTGTGATGGCTGGTTACACTCATCAATTGCCAACTATTCTCAGTTAAGTTTTATACTAGACTGTATCATATCGGCCGTACGTCAATGATCCTAATCTAAGACGACGCTTTGCAAGGTTTCAACTTGGTGAACATTATTTGGAATTGTATCGTGGCCAATAAATTAAACTTAAAAGTAAGAGGAACGGAAAACGAAAGCAATTTTATATAATCGGGGAAATGTATTCGAACAATGGCATACATTTTAACTTGTCAAAGAAAAGTGAAATTTAAGTTATGCATATATTGGTTTCTTCAAACTTCTGTGAGTCCAGATGTTGCATTTCATCATGTAATCGTTAAGAACTGAGAGGAGCAACAACTTCTCATGTAATTATAGCTTACATGTCGAATTAAACTGAAACTGTCGTATTCTGTTGGTCGCTGAGTACGGTTTCTATCGTAAGTTTATCTTATATAGTTTATGTCTAATTTAATTTATTAGATGTAGTTTAATTAAAAACAAATCTTAAAAAATAATCATATTATTATATGAATTATTATTTTACTATACAGGGGATGTGTGTTTTGTCAGGGAGTTTAGGTAAATACACCCTCAACCCTCGCTCATACACTATCATATCATCCCGAAGCGGAACCTACAGCATTAATTTCCAAAATCTCAAATAGAAAGTGAAATGAATTATATTTCTAATTTTGACGAATCGTTATTATTTGGTAAATGCGGCGGCAGATATATGTCTGTTCCCCTAGTTCAAACATGACGTTTAAACGCCACGCGGTAATCAACTTGATACGACATTCTCTCGGGGAGCAGTCATTTTACAATATTTTTTTATTAACAGTATCGTGAGAATCTCGTTCTTTTTAAGCTATTTTATTCAATTCTTTGTAGATATCATGTCTTTATAATATATCTTATATAACAACATTGGAGGCACGGTAGTCTAGTGGGAAGACGTCGGGATCGTGACCGAAGAGTTACGGGTTCGAGTCACTGCACGGCACTGTGTTGTATTTTTTAGCAAGATACTTTACTCCGCTAATTCCAGTCTACTTAGCTGTAAATGAGTACGTGGTTGGGTAGTGCTAGAATTGTAGAATGCTAGCTGTGAGCGCCGAAATGGCAGCACCGGCTGTATGTTCCCCAGGGAGTTGGTATTGGCTGGTTGCAACTATAACAACGGATAATAATTTGTGAACCGCTACAAACTAGGTTGTGATAAAGCGGTATATAAGAGTCTCGAATTATTATAATCATTATGACACTGACACATAGAAGAACTTCTATTAAGCTTAAAACATATATTTATGTCTTATGTAATGTATCTTACATATTTGATATAACATATCTGATTAACAAACAAAATACGAAATACATTATTAGATATTTTACAAGCATATACATGTATGATACCATACAGATTTGGTATGGGATGGAGGGTTAACATTGCTCCTGGAATAAATGTTAAGATGCCAAGTAAGTGTTGACTTTTTGATCGTAACAGCGAGTGAGAACTACGAGACCAGAAATGGGCTGGGAAACAGTGATCAGGATTCAGTTTAAGGTGGTGACGCCCAAAACATCTTAGTGTTGTTCATTTTATCTCCCACGGTTACTTTCATCTTCAACAAGAGAATACTGATTACAGCTCATAAAACTTCAATCTT